ACCTCTAGTGAACCCAGAGAGCATTTTTTAACATTCAGTTCTGCGATTAATTGAATCAAACTTCTTTTACTAAAAATGAGCCATAGAGAAGGTAGAGGGAGGGGAAGGGAAGGGAAGGGAAGGGTCCTAGCTGACAGGAAGCTCCTAACATGGCCTCAAGTGCTAGAGCCTGTTACTGCCCCTCCCAGGGGCCAAGGCATTTCTGCCCCAGGCAGACAGGGCTTCCAAGACTGCTGTAATCATGGTGGAGAATGCTCAAATAAAAACACACATGGTGGAATTTCTCTGAACCATTAGAGTTTCTCTTGAGCACTGGTATTTTAGACTCAGGGTAGAATTGTGGTCTGGAAGGAAAAGACCCTAAACAAGGATTTTGGAGACACCAAGTGAGAATAAAGGCAAGCCAGACTCTTGGTAACCCGCCTGTCAAGACACCACCCTCTCACTTTATACATGAAGATACGCCATCCTCTCCTGCAGCGCCCCACCCCCCTGCCCCATTTTCCTTGTCCTCAACTGCCCAGCAGCCCAGGCTTTGCCACATGCACATGTGGTTCCCTCTGCTCCGAAGTCACTCTCCTTCCTCTGCCTGCCCAAATTGTCCAATTTGCCAGGCTCAGACAGGTTCTCCATAGAATGTTGGTTAAAAACATGAGCTTTGAAAATAATCTGGCGTTTGAGTCTCTGCTTTGCCCCTTACTGCTGTGTGATCTTAATACAGTGATTGGGAGATCCCAGCTCTGTTTGCTGTGTGGCCTTGGGCGATTTACCTAACTACTCTGTGCCTCAGCCCTGTCATCTATAAAATGAAGATAAGAAGAATGCTTATGTATTATGCTTTACATATTATCGTGGGGATTAAATGGGAGTAATAAAGGTCTGTGCCTGGCACATCGTAGGGGTATACTGTTAGCTACCTAGAGATGAAGTGTCTGCTACCCTGTGAATAAAGCCTGCCCTGACTCCAGGCACAGTCTCCCCTGCTGCGGTGTCTCCCCCTGGGGAGGCCCTGTGGTTCCACTCACGTGCTTGCTCCTTGCTTTGGACTTCCCTTGCACAACAGCCGGGGACCTAACTCACTCGTGAGTTGCTAACCTTTGTTAGCATATCTCCATACTTCGATAGTTGAGATCTCCTAGGACAGAGTATTTCTTCAAGTGGACTTGCAGATTGATTCATCTGGTAACATTTCCAAGTGCCCTGGCCTGCCACAAGGCCCTTTGCAGTATGTTCCTGGCTGCCTTCCTCTCCATGCCATGTGCCCCAAGCCAGAAACCCCACCCTCCTGGAACTGTTCCTGTTGCCCTAAGCAATCCGGCCCTACACAGATCCAGGCCTTTGCATATATAGAGCCACACTGCTTGGAATGCCAGGCCCCACCTCTTCTCTGCCGGGAAAACTGTTCATTAGGAGTCAGGCCAAATGCCCTCTTCTGAAAAGCCTTTCCCAACTCCAGGGCTCTGCCCTCTTCTCTGCCCTGGCTCAAGTTTGTTCTCCCTGGACTGTGATCTTCTCCAGGAACAAGGTAGGGACCCCAGTGTCCTTCACAAAGTAGGCAATGGAATCCTTGGTAAGGTCTTTGACCGTGGATCAGCCTGGTTGAGCTGCACAGAGGATCCAAACTCCTGTAGACATCTTCTAATCCCACACCCACCACTCGGGTGCCCTGCTGAGTCTAGGTTTGGCCCCTCTGTAAAATGACCATAACACCTTCTCCACAGATACTGAGGGCTGAGGGAGCTGTGTGTCCAGCCCTGGCACATCCAGAAGACTCTAGAAATGTTAGCTCCCCTTCCTCCTTCCTGGACTGTACCTCAGGCTTCCCATCTTTGTGTTGGTGGCAGTCCCATCCCTGATCTAGTTAAGACAAAGACAAAAACATTACCAATTGGCTTAGAGATTCCAATTCCTCATTTTACGAGGAAAAATAATCCTCTTAGTTGTTAGACATACCATGACACATGATTCTCTGTTGCTAATGTGATTCTTTGACATCACTCTTTTGCAGATTAGAAACATCTCTCATTTCTCTGAGTCTGATTTCTTCCAAAGAAGGGCTCTGGCAATCAACCAGCATGCCTCCCTGGAGGAAGGAGTGCTGTGGTCCTGGAGGCTACTTTTCTGGTTCTGCTGTCAGAGGCAAAGCTCACCTTTCTGGGTCAGGCTCACATCCTTTGGAGAGGAAAGGACGAACTCTGTATTGAGCTGTGCAACCTTCCAATAGGCAACACAAACAGTCTGTGGGCTCTGAGCTACTCATCCTGGGAGATGGCTTCTTTCAGAGGACAATCTTTGCATCTTCCCTCTTATGGTCTATTTCTTCTTTGAATTTCCTCCAGAGTTAGCCAAGCTGTATGGAATTCAGTGGTACCCCTTGGCTCTGCCCCCCCACCCCCACCTCTCTCTCTCTCTCTCTCTCTCTCTCTCACACACACACACACACACACACACAAACACACACTCACCTATACCCTCCTCCTCTAACACATGTCTGGTAACTATGGCGCTAGTACTGTAAGTAAAATTTCTCTCACATGATAAAAACACATTTTCTTGTCTCTCTTCCACCTTGCTCCCATTCCCATGAGACTTTCACACAGGTTCATTCCTTTAAAAGTTTATTTCTGGTGAATTAAAAAAAAATAATTTATGTGACCAGATCAATAGAGTAAAGACATGACACACAGCAGAGTTTAACTTTCCTGTTTGCTTCTGGATTTTGCAGCTTGGCGAGAAGGCGGCTGAGTGATACCCAGCCTCCTGGAGCCAGGAGATGCTGATGGGCTGACTCACATGTGGGTGCTTATTGGAGGGCTGGGAGGTGGGCTCACAGAAAGGCCAAATCCAAACCTCTTTTACAGAAATGTCTCTTTATCGTGTTGGCTTTTTAATCAGTTGACATAGCTATCATATGCCTGATACTAATAACCATAAATATAACGATGCTCAGAAAGACGTCTCAGGGACTTTTAAACATGGTACTTGGGGACTCTGGGGGAAGACACCTTCCCCTCAGAGGCCACCTCCTGAGGCTGGCACTTGGAGGAGACTGTGGGAAGGTAGGACCTGAGCCCTTAGCACAGCTGTCAGGGTCTTTAGGTTTCTGAACTCCACTGCGTCCTAGCCTGCAGCGAACATTTCCTCCCAATTCCTTGGGTTCCCATAAGGCTCTCAAAGGAGGCCATTGCCTTGGTCAGCAGAAGGAACACTTTCTCCAGGAGTCTGAGAGCTGAACATTCTGATATTCTACGGGGGTCTTAAGGGCAGATTCCCCAGAGGGCCTGCCAGAGCCCAGAACCTCAGAGCTGGGGGAGATTTGAGGGTCCACTGCCAAGGAAGAAACAGGCACATCAGCGGGGGCCCTTGACTCTCCTAAGTGTAGAGACCACAGCTTGCTCACCACCATCACCCTGCTGCCTAATTCCCGTGTGAGGCTTTGGCCTTGGGACTACTTTGGTGGTAGATTTCACTTTCTTAGGGGTAGTGAATTTTGGTTATAATATTTTGGTAAATTAGGAATAGGCTTTGGTTGCCTATAAACTCACTGACTGATAAAAAAACCCCAGAGAGCAGGCAGGGAAAGCCTATGAGAAGCCCCATGTGGTTTCCCGTGATAAGGCACACGCTCTGGTGGCTCATCCGAGGCCACTGGCCACGTGGCTCCTCTGGAGGCGGCCTGGGGGCCCACGATGCCCAACCGGAGGGCTGTCCAGGACTCGAGATACCTACTTGCACAGATCACCAGGGTTGCACCCAACTGAATACCAGCAGAGTTTAAACAAAGGCTGGTTGTTTAACTGAATGTGGCTTTAGCATCCTTTTGAAAGACAGAACCAAGCAAAACCCAAACCCCCAAATCACTGGGCAGTTCTGGAGTCCAGTTCAGGTTCCTTTTGTGACTTTCACAGACAGCCAGGTCTAAATGCAAAGATCAGCTCAAGGCTTCACAGCCCAGTGTTATCTCCCCTCATGGGACACACACCTGCTCCCCTTTCACATAGAGATGCACTTCTGTGCTCTATGCCTGGGATCATTTTATCCTTTTGTTGGATGCTCTGAAAACTCACACCCAAAATGCAATTCATACCTGTGTTATTTCCCTTTGAAGAAGAATCAGAAGACCCCCTCAGTGCCAGGGAGACACCTGCCCTAGGACCTATAAATAAGCCCCAAAGCCATTTCATGAAATGAGAGAAGGCCAAGACAGCCAAGAGGCCATTCATGTACATGTATGCAGTCGACCGCAAAGGGACAGATGAAAACCCAGCGCCAGATGAGGCGATAACTGGGAACTAACTTCCAGAAGTTCCCAGCAACAGAACATTCCAAACAGGAGGATACTTATATAGGTCCTACAAAAATAAACTTTGTTCCATGCCTGTTTTCTGGCCTTGTAAAGTACAGGCCTTCCCATTCGGCTTGTCTCTGGAGGTTTTTCTGTATCAAGTGCAGTAGAGATTTTACATGACTCTGAGGAAGAAACAGAGAACTCACTTCCTGCCCCTGTCTGGCTCCTGGGATGCCAGGATGGGACAGGGGACAGGTGGAAGGGGAGGAGCACCTGCATAGCCTGGAAGACAAGGGGGTTGGCAATGGAGGGGCCACCCAGAGTCCTGTGATGTGAGGGCACTGACATAGTTTGACTCTGAGCCTTTGGGTCTGATTCTTAAGTCTCATGAAGCACCTGTGCCCATCTACACAGTGTCTCAAGGGGAGAACCCCCAGTCCACAGGGCCCTAAGTTTTCATCCTGAGGTCTGAGAGGGCATGACCCAGGATAGAGATGAAGAGTCGTATTGGCTATACTCAAAGAGAACAGGCCAAAAGTGTGTGAGCTCCCCGAGACACCAAGGTTCCGCCAGCTAACCGCCTCTTCAGAAGGCGCCTCCACCCCCACCTCCCTACATACTTTCTCCACCTGCTTTTCACTGACACTATGTTTTCTCTCACTTTCTACTTGTCTGGCAAAAAATTCTATTACGTGTAGCACTTACAAGTCTCTCAAAATGGGAAACTTAAAAGTTTAATTATATTTTAAAGCATGACATGGTCTAGAGAGTCTGCTAAAGGAAATATTGGCCAAGGTCTAAAAGTGACACCTTTTGAGGACCAGAGCATCAACTGTCCCCCTGGGTGGAATTTTAAAACGATACTGTGGACGAGCTATGAGATGTGATAACACATTAATGTAGAAAAGTGAAGAATGACTGCTGCCTTCCACAGTTATTAGTTTTGAAAACCATGTACCTCCATCACCGCTGTTTTCCCTCCATAAATTCTTTCAAAGATACTTGCTACCAGGCATTAGGAGCTATGCCATGAGCCACTCATCCTTCATGTACTGTCTCGGGTCAAGGCTCAGATTAAAAGTAAATTCAAGGTCTTAAAATGCCCTTCCAAGGAGAGGGCCCTGAGAAAAGAGGGGGAAATATATGAAAATCTGGAGGAGTGGCATCCAGAAGATGGACTCTGAAAAATACCATAAATCTTCACTTACCAGATGCAATAAGGAAAATATATTGTTAAAGGTTTATATTGATTTTAGGATGCACCTAGATTTTAGGAATATTAAGACGTAGGGAAAATGTCCATCTTGGGAGGGAGGAAAGATGACAGATTTTTAAACAGATGTTCCAATCCCGGATTCCGATCACTTTAAGAGCAGAGGAGCCAATGTGGGAGTTGGAAGATAGAGTCGCCAAGGAACTGCTTTATTTCAGCTGAACCCCCACCTCGAATGCCTAAAACGGGATGTTGTATTGACTGTCATCTGGGGGACATGGGTTTGTGTGTATGAATTTATGAACCGAAACAGCCTCTGCAGGGTAAGGAGCCCACACACTTTATTACAGCCCCTGCTCACCAAGCCCTGACAATCCCCCATACCTCTGCCTTTTGGATTATGGAGGAAAAAAAAATAATTGTTCAATTTTCTGGGCCACATAATACAAGATGGGACTAGATTGTACAAAGAGCTTACACACGGAGGGAAGAAGGCGTGCAAACAGGAGCAGGAATTCTTCACCCTCTGGGTGAGCCAGCACTCAGACACAGAGGGTGACTCGATCCTAGTCACCCTCCTGGAGTCCACAGTGGTTTATGTTTCCGGCGTTTACTAACCGTATTCGACTCCGACTTCCACTTTCTCCTGAGAGGAAGAAGAGTATCTTTGAATATCTATGGCATCAGTGACTTACTCAAGCCATTATTTTTTTCCTATTAAGATTTCACAAAAAGGCCCAGGACCAGGCCTAGAGAAGGACCAACAAAAGCACAAGTGTCTGAGAACGACATAATACTGACTTCTCTTTTTTGGTAACAGTCCATGAAATGTGCGCCCCTCTCTCCTGAGATATGATGAGGCATGAGGGGAGGTGGCAGAGGAGCTGTGGGTGGGACACTGTACCGTGTGACATCACGATCATGCAGCTGGTGCCCGACAGGACAGAGACATGAGAATGAGCACTCAGGACTCTGGGCTGGCCCCAGGGGAAGGCGGGTAGCTTCCGGGTAAGTGCCCAGTCTCTCAGGAACACTGTCTGTCCAATTCTTGCAGAGCCATTCCCCTGGGGCTCGCCATCTTGGCTCTGGCCTTAGCCTTCGTCTTCCCTCAGTTCAGTGGGTAGGAATTTATACTGCTGTTGGCGGATCTGGGCCAGTTTCTTCCTTGCTTCTTCCAGTTCTCGCTCTTTCTTCAGCATTTCCTCCTGGGCGGCGATAATCTAGGAGAAAAGCAGCAAGTTGGATGGATCTAAAATGTACCAGGAGACTGCCCTCCCGCTCCATTACTTGTCTCATAAGCTCCTGCTACAGCAATGCACTAGGAATAAATATTCTCTGCGGAGACTGCCCTCCCGCTCCATTACTCGTCTCATAAGCTCCTGCAGCCTCTGCTACAGCAATGCACTAGGAATAAATATTCTCTGCTCTGGAGGCTAGCCTCTGGTCTGCAGTTTGAGTTTTGAGATCAATGACCCAGTTGATCCAAGAAAATAAGTGGACTCTGGCCTCTGATTTAACAGCGAACATCTACTGCATCCCTACTATGTACTAGGCTCTGGTGTAAGCACTTTACATGGAGCATCCCATCATCTTTGTGGCAACAGTGTGACGTATTCCCCATCGAATGTACAATTTTTCCAATGAGAAACCTGAAGCTGAAAGATGGGGCCCAGTCCCTTGAAGTTCCTCAGCTCGGAGCAGGACCTGGCCCGAATATTCTTGAAACTAAAGCTGGAGTCCTTAACTACTGGATGGTTTTCATATATTTATTTCATGCTTCTAAAGAATGATCTGAGGAATATTAGTCAATAGGCATTGTGTGAAAAAGGTTGAGTTTGCGTTCAAGAAAGCCAAATAGATTTCTTTCCTGTGGGCCTTTTCAGAGCCTTCACTATGCAATGATCTCTGTGATCACAAACCTGAGCAATGCCCCCTACAAATTTTGTTTTCACTACAACATCATCATCATCAGCTTTGCCAAATGCTGCCTTCTGGGCTGCACGAACAAGATTGTCTGAGGCTCTTTTCACAGCATTTCCTGCCGCCTGGAGAGGGAACAAAACACACATAATATCATTAGAAACAGTCATTTGGATCTAGCAAGAACAGACATGAAGGTACAGTTCATGAGACTAAGAATCAATTTATCATCCAATTATAACACAGACGTCCTCTCTAGTTAGTATCCATTTTCTGTCAGTCTGTCCATCTGTCCGTCCATCTATCCACTGATTCTACCAACATTGGCACCTACCTAACTTAAGCTCATTCACAGATGAATGAGATGCAGTTCTTGGCCCCTAAGGAACACACATTTTTGAGAATTACAATTATGTAAATAAAATGATTATAACATTGTGATGTGTGTGTTAACAGAAGCATACTCAGGGCTGCCTCCTTGGTCCAGAAAATCACCTGTCCCCGCCCCATTCAATTTAGACATACTTGAGGACTTGGCTCGGACATTGCTTTCTTGATCCATCCTGGCCTCCCCACTTGCCCCCAGTGCTCCTGGAGTGCTTCATGTTGGCTTCTCTGCAGCCTTTACCACACATAGGGAGTAACTTGAGAGCAGAGACTGTGACGTGAATCTTTGCATCCCCAGCACCTGGCATACTGGCTGCCCAGTGTTGGTAGTCACTGAATGTTTTCTGAGGGAATGAACGGCTATGAAAGCACAACCTACTCCTGCATGAGAGGGCTGGGACCCCCATGGTAATTAAGGGCTTTACAGATATACTTTTACAGTCACGGCTGGGCTTTATGCCACATGCTCAAGGAGGTGAAGAAAAGCTTTGCAGTGTGAAGTCTAGATCTTCAGTAAGGACTGCAGCCCACACTGGCTTACTCCTAACGCTCATGAAGCATGGTCCTGAGGATTTGTCTTCTGCCACCTGAGGTTTGGGATCTTCTTCTAATGGTGGTCAAGCCTTCATTAAACCTCTCAAATTCCTTGCCTAGCACCCTCAGTGCAAAGACTTGTGCTTGAGGGTTAGACATCAGAAAGTTGAGAATTTTTCTCAAAGTTAAGTAGCTTATCTGGTTGGTAAAGGGACCAGTAGGGACGATGAGGGCTTGCACAAGAAGTGAAGGACAAGTAGTCATCATGCGTTTATTCTCAAAATAGCTTTATGAGGTCAGAAATCATTAGTCTACTTTTCTGATGTAGAAACTGAAGTAACTTGTCTAAGATCCTGTACCTAGAAAGTTATAGAGCTGGGATGTGAACATAGGTCTATCTAGCTCCAGAGAACCTCTGGGTCATTGTAAGTAACACAGATATGACATTGGACCATCCAGTTGAAATCAGCAACAATGATAATAAGAGTGATGCTGTGTTATGTCTGTGTAAATCCTCAGGACTTACAAAAGCATGTTTACGTCTTGACCCTTATCTTGACATGTGAAGAGCCAGTGCAGATATCTCTATTCTAATTTTATAGACGAGGCAAACCAAAGCCTGAAAAGTTTTGAGTTATTTGTGTAAGATCATGGACTTAATACATGGCGGAGGCAGGACTTGAGCCCAGGTATCTCTTAACTCAGGATGTTTTCCTCAGAAGTGTTCTCCAAACCCAGGAACCACACATTTACAAGTGTGCAGCTCCCCATTCTCCCCCTGAGTTTAGCCCAGGAGTCATATGAAGGTGAGGGAGGAGGGTCAGAGAGATACTCAGGAGAACCAAACAACAGAAATGTACTTTAGGGAAGTAAAATGAGAGTTCTGCATTTGGGCGGAATTATTCAAATATTTCTGCCATTTACGAAATTATTCATGACTTATATAAACATATTTTTAGAACACCAACAGTCTGTATTACAACACATAATAAAAATGTAGAAAATTGGAAACAAAACGTCCACAGTATAGGAAAATTCTGGCATAATCAGTTGATGTAACATCATGCAATCATTAAAAGTGAGACTCATGAAGAATGGACCGATTAGCTTTGCATAGAGAAGTTATGAAGCTTTTTCTTCAAGGAAAAAGATATGTATGATAAAATGTTAAGCGAAAAAAAGCAGAATGTCTCTTGCTATGATTACAACTAGACAAAATTATTTTGTATACAGATGAAAACAGGAAGAGAAAAAATGGTAACATTTGACATGTGAAGATGTTGAGGCTATGTGATTTTTTTCATCCAAACATTTCCTTCAGTGTGTTTAAAACACTTCGACAATTGAAGCGATCAGGAAAACATATGCACTGGCAAGGAGTCTATTATCAACTTCATAGGCATGTTCTCTGGGCTCTGGGAAACCTTAGCAACAGTCTCGTATGAATTCCTGAATCCTTTCATTCCCTTCTTTAGCAAATAGTGAATGAGGGCTTCCACTGAAACAGGCACCATCTTAGGTGTGAGTTATGCAAAGGTAAAGATGTGGTGCCTGAGCCTAAGAAGATCCCAGCCTTGTCAAAGACACATAAAGATAAATATGGTGGTACCAGTGACAGGAACCATAAGAGCGGGGCTTTGGCTGGAGGCTCTGTCAGGACACAGGAGGGATTGACTGCTTGAGACAAAGGAGTCAGGGAAGGCTTCCCAGGAGAGGTGGCTTTCAAGTTGTGTCAAAAAGGACAAGTAGGAGTTCACCAGGCTGGGCTGGTGGGGAGGAAGGCCAGAATATTCTGAGTGAGACAGGGCCCCAAGGCGTGAGGCCAGAAGGCACATGTGGAGAATGTCAGTTTGGTAGGCAGCAGGGTGTAGGATGCATGGCTGTACGTGACAGAAAATGAGAAAAGTGGGACAGAGTTGGCTGATGGAAGGCCTGGTGGTCATGCCAAGGAAGTGAGACTGTCTCCTCTGGCGACACTTACCCGCTCCAACAGGAGTATTTTCCCACCAGCATCAGTGACCATTACCTGTAGCCGCCTCATGGCCTCTGAATCCTGATCGGCCTTCACCTTGCAGGCCACAAGCAGCTGAGCGGTGGAAGCGGCAACCTGCTTGGCGGACGAGATGAGCTTCTCTTCACTGGCATGTCCCTGAACAGAAGCATTGGCCGCCTCACAGAGACTGCTGGTTGCAGCTGCCACCATCCGGGCCTGGGGACAGTCAACAGAGAAGTTACCCAAGGCCCAAAGCTCCCTTGGGGGATCCAAAAGGCAAATGGGGTAGAAGAAAAAGGTGACTCACAGCAGAAATCAGCCCCTGTGACCACTGTCCGTCATCCACGGCATTGGCGGGGATGGAGCCCACCTAGAGAGTGGAAGTGAGAAATCTGCAGTGAGAGCTAGAAGGCTCGGGGTGACCTGCAGCCCCTCAGACCCTACACCGTCCGGAACTAGGGAGAAAAACATCTCAACAGACATGCAGCACCACCTGGGACTCCCAGCATGAGCACCGGCATGAGAATGGAGCCCCCTTTCCCACATAGGACTCTAGCCACTCCAACTACTCTAGCACAAACCTGGCTGGTTCTACCTGGGCCAGAAGGAGCCTCTCTTAAATGCTCCAAAGGGCCTCCATTAGTTGCCAGGTATTGTGTTTCTGGGAGAATGACTCAGAAACGATGGATTGGGGCTGTCTTTACACGCTTATTTCCTCTGCTGACCTTTCTTCATTTCAAACACGGGAGCCCTGCGGTGGCTTCTTTCAAGGGCCAAGGGAAACAAATCTCTCTCGATTACAGCTCCTAAAGCCACACTGTGATTTTCTGGCAGATGATGCAAAAAGGGGTGGTACATTTCCTTAAATACAATGAAGGGCAGGCCCTTAAGGAAATACAGACCATTCTACAGGGCTGGGGAGAGCTGGAAGATGATTTCTGTTTCTATTTAGAAATTATGGCGACAAGTGAAATATTTTCTGTCCAGCTGTAGAGGAAGGAGCTATGGGAGGAAATACCTTTACACTTGTGAGAAGGGCCTAGAGAAGTAAGAGATGAGTATCTCAATTTGAAGATGAAATTGGGGATCTGACAGCAATTACAGGCATCACATCGGGGCTTGGTGAATGTCAGGCAAAACCTCAAGGTCCTGTATATAAGCCTATAGTTCATCCAACTTGAGCGGAACCTGCTTTGCCAACTCTTTAAATGCTTGAACATATGAGTCGCTTGGAGGACGGGGCTCTGCCATATTCAAGTTAGATTCTCTAGAATCTAGTGATGTCTGGCACATAGTTGGCCCTTTATCAATAAACTGAAATTTTAGGTAGGATGTTCTTTTCAATGATCCATTTTTGGTCTTTTCATATCGACTGATCGACAAGTTCTTGATAAGTAAGGTTGGCACTATGCTACATATATAGGAGATAAGTGAGAAACTTCAAGGGACAGATTGAATGCCACTTGGGGAGACGTACATATGTTAATACTGAAAAACACACCACACCATGGTTTAGAAAGAGAAGCCAAAGTATGTGGGTTGGATTAAGGCATGGCTAAGCTCATGAGAGACTTCCTGGAGGAAGATGCACAGCCACTAGCTGGGCATAACTTCCTGTCTGTGTTACACATTCTTGGGTCAAGATACAATCATATTTGTCTATCTGTATGCCGACAACAAAGCCTTTTAATATCAAACAGAAGTAACTGACAATTGTGGTGACCACGTTGCCCAAAACCACAACCTGCCAGGATTTCTGTCCTGCCTCTATATTTGAAAGGCTCTCTGCAGGGCATAACTGGGATGGGGTGGTTCCATGCTGTAATGGAATAACAGATAACAGGGCACATGGAGTATTTTAAATTAGAAGACCTTCCTACGGCCAGGATAAATCTAATGTGCTATTCATTCTTTGGATCACTGGAAAAAAACTATGCTTTTATGTTAATGCTGATGAAATGGATAACTAGAGATGAAGCAGATCTAAGAAATCTCAGATTTAAAACCAGACTGGCCTTTTGACCAGTGGGCTCAGAAAAATGCTAACTGCAGAGTTAGACAGCATTCAGTTAAACAGCCCTAAAAAATGAATGAAGCCACTGGAGTTGGAAGACGGTATTATAAAGTCCCTGACTGTGGTGCTTATATAGCCATGCACTAGGAAAATATGACAGCTTACATCTGCAAATAGCCTAATGTACAGTGGGAATATAAATGTCTTGTTCAGGTCCAGATCGCTGCCTGGAGTGGAATACTTTCCTTAACCAGAAGCAGATGAGAGGTCCGGCAGCCAAACCCTTCATTCTGTTTGTCAGGTTAAAGCCAGCAAGTTTTCAGTCAGTTGGGGCAAAGACTGGCAATTCAGTGAGGAAAGGTACAGCATTCTTCAGGCTGAAAGCATTCATATCTTTTCCACATGGGCCCTTACTGCATGAACGTCCCACCGCTTGGTCAGTGGGGTTTACCCACCTTTCCTTGGGCCACCAGCTCCCTCTGGGCTGCTGAGGCCGATTTGACCAGCGCACTTGTGGCAGCAGCAATAGATTTAGCAGCTTCCAAGATCTGTTCTTCAAAATCCAGGGTCTCATCTGCTTGCTATAACCAAAAGAAAACAGCATCACATGCAATTCATATCCACAAAGGACTCTTTCTGCCAAACTACTTACTGCTTGTCACCTGGCGCTTTATCCAACTATTGTTAGTTTGTTGACAAACCACACCAGGGTAGAAAGGCCTAAGCTGGCAGGCTGTCCCCGGCATCTGCTGCCTCCCTGTGCCCCTACTCTAAAAGGTGAAAGCTGCCACCACTGACATCCACACAAATGTTATATCAGGAAATTATAAGGCAGACTATTTTTCTAGACTAGAATCTTTAAAGAGACCTACATTCACTATCAATAAAAATCCTTGAATGGTTCCATCAGCATTGGTAACCAAAATCAAAATAATCAATAATCAAAAGCCAAAGAGTGGGTGGTGGCACAGTCTTCCAGGGCCTAAGGCTCAAAAATGGGTTGAAAAAAATGGAAAGATGGCTATTAGTAGTGAAAAACCTTATTTTTCTGGGGTAAAAACAAAAGCAAAATAGCATTTGCATTTTCTGTGGCTGAGCACAGAGAGTTACATACCAACCACAGATCCCCTAGAGATGGAAAGGAAATCCATCCAGGTGGAGCTTATGCAGTCACCTGGCACCCAGGGCCTGGCTCCATCTGGTGAAGAACACTGGCCACCACTGCGCAGGTGTTGTCAGGTCATTATGTCTCTGCTGTAAACTCACTGCCACCATGCCCCATGCTGCCAAAACAACCTGGGAAGCTGAAGAAAAGCCTTTGGGAAGTGGGGCAAATGTAAAGACTTTGGTCCTCGGCTGGGTGGGATGGTGCACCACCATTTGGGGTGGTCAGACTAGACCACTGCCAAGGGTGCCTCCAGCATTAATACTCTGTGTCAATATGGTTAAGTTCCCCTTAGGTCCCAGAATGCTGAAGATGGGGCTGGCACCTTTTAGGCATTAGGAGATGATGGACAGGTATAGCAATACTTTTCTTTGTATGTGTGTGATAAAATACAAATAACATAAAATTTAACCTTTGAATCAATTTTAAGTGTACAAGTCAGTGGTATTAAGTACATTTGCAATGTTGCACATTAGCAATACAGGTTTTTAAAAATTAGCTTCATGTATACAGTACACTGGTTAGACATTTATATAGTTTATAAAACGACCCCCCTAATTGCTCCTTCTGGTTTTCCACCTAGCCAATATATTAATGCTAACTGCATTCCCTATGATGTGATCCCCGTCCCCGTGAAGCAATACAGTTTTAAGAGTGCCTACTATGTGCCAAGCATTTCTGTGTAGGTTAGTGTATTTCTCACTGGAAAAGAGAAAAAAAATCCTATACTGTAGTTATCTATAGCTTTACACTTACAGTAAGAAAACTGAGGCTCAGGGAGATGGAGAATTGGGCCCAAGGTCATGTGGCAGCATGAAGAATCTAAACCAGACCTAAAATTAAATCTGACACCATAATGACGTTTTTACTAGCCTACGCCACCCCTTAGGGTATCAGTGAGGGATAACGTCTGGTCAGAGGCTCAAGCCGGCTCGCTAGTGGTCTCCTATGAGACATCAGGGAAGAAGGATACATGAATACGATTTTTTCCCCTTCCCTATTCTATATGGCCACATCTTGAACTATGAGAGATGTCAACCTTATTTTCATTTTTAAACCTGTATTATCAAAACAACATTTCGGTGCACATCTACCTAGTGGCTCCGAAGGATTATAGCAGCACGTAAGAAGTTCTGAGACAGAAGCCATATAGCCTTTCTTATTTCTGACAGTCTTGCTCTAGGAGCATTCAGAACAGAAATGGATTCAGTTCCAGTGGAATCATTTTGGATTCCTTGTTACTAGGTGAGAGTAGGGGAGTAGTAGTGGTGGAATATAAAATGCGTTTACTGAAATACAAAAACAACTCATTATTAAGAAACTCTGGCATAGAAAGGTACTGTTATACACAGGCTCCAAAGAGATGGCATTAGGTTCTGGTACATATATTCAATGACCTTGAGTTAAGAGCTTTTTTGAAAATTCATTCTGCAAGAGAAAGTCAAGCATATAACAGATTAAGGCACTATGGAAATCATAGAATTTTTGAGTCCAAAGGGAGCCCCTCCTCATTTTGCGGATGAGAAAATAGAGGCCCATGGTGTCTCCCCAAAGTCTTCTGGAACCACTCCTGTCTCAGGTGGCCTCAGATACATTATGTGTTCCGAGACTGAGTCCACTTCATAGGGTGGAGTATTCCATTAGCGGATTTTTGATTTCCCAAATTTTAGAATTTGCAAATATGGAATTTCCTTAAAATTAAGTTCTAACTTTAAGCATGGATAAATTTGATAGACTCATCTCATTACAATTTGAAAGGCCTCTCCCACGTTTTCTGCTGCCCTGGAGTTTTTTTTTTTTTTTTTTTTTTAACACATTCTTGAAATAGATATTCAACTTGGAAATATTTTTGACACCCACTGATTTTTCTTACAATGGCAACTTCTGTAATATCCTTTGATGGATTTTTATTTTTCTTTTCATAACATCTCTATGCTTTGAAATGGACACAGCAGAAAGCCTGATTTCTGGGAGATATTTGCTCTGATTAAAAAGTACTAGAGTGTTTCCCAAGAAAGGCTTAATGAAGCTGGTTGGAACGGCAACAGGGATGGAGGGTGAATGCTTAGATGCCACAGTTAGGCAGAGTTCCATGATGAGACCTGCCTTCTGTCTGCTGAATCTCTGTCTTTCTGTAGGCCAGGTTTACCTCACCCAAAAACAACACTTGATGTGGCCTCATAACATACAACTTCTAGCCTCAAAGAAAATAGGATCTCTGTAAGCCAAGCCTCAGTGAAAAGCCACACACTCCAGTCAGTGCTCCCTATTAGCTTCAGATCCTATCAGCATGGAGGATGGAACCTGGGAGAGAGGTGGTGAGGGTAGCAAGACAAGGGAGGAGGACATAGGCTAAACCGCATTGCAAAAAGAGAGAGGCATGGAATTGGCTTGGTCTCTGAAGGACTTTCCTAAATAAAAGGATCACAATTAAAATGCAGAATTTGCTAATAGAACAAAGCCCATCATAGCTGAGAAATTGGGGAGAATAAGAACAGCAACGTGGAGCTGCCGTTAAGGAGATCTGGTGAAGAATCTGGAGACCCAAGGTGCCATGGACTGGGAGGTGAGGCTCCTCTCACTGAGCCCTCATGCTCTGCTACTGCACCAGCAGGCTCAGCTGGTTGGTCTCTTAAGATCCTCTTTAGCTGAGATATTTTACTGACCTGACCAAAGGTTCCCAGATCTGACCCTCTGATTTATGGAAGACTGAGTGAAATCCTCACTCCCGAGTCTCCCTCTCCTCAACAGTTGGAGCCATTAAGATTGCTAAAATAATCTTTTGAAGGTTATAACTAATCCTATGCACGTAGCTATTTGTATTTCTTTACAACTACTGGCATCAAGCAAGACAATGAACTAAGACAATGTTTTCATTAAGTGGGCTAAACCGATAACTCTTGCTCAGAATCACCTGAGGATCTGGTTAAAGGTACAGATTGTGTTTCAGTGGGTCTGGGGTGGGGCCCAAGAATCTGTATTTCTAATGGAGGTGGTACAGGCTACTCTGTGGGAAATGCTGGCCTGGGTTAAGGAAAACAGACACCAGTTAACTGAATCTTACAAGCCTGTGGTCTCTTCCAGCACACAGACCATATTTTATTCAACTTATACTTCTAGAACACAAAATCAGGCAGAGAAGCCCATGTGATAAAGGTTTGTTGAATGAATGTATTCATTCAAAATGAGTCTCCCAAGTTCTAGAGTTCAGCCAGAGGACAATCTACATGGGTAAGGAAGGAGAAATGCAGAGAGTAAACATTTACATCAATAACTATCGATTCCTGGAGGATGAAGGCAGACACATCTATACACAGGCTCCTGTCCCATTTAAGGCCATGGGTTGTTAATTGTACACTCTGCCTGCATCCCTCAACTGGCTTTCATAGTTAGTGACATTTAGTCACCCATATACAAACATAAAGTGGCATTTTACTAAGAGGCTCTCTTAATAAAATAGTTCTGGGAAAGAATAACAGAAACTAAAAATCTACTCTGCTTAATGAAAGTGTTAGCCACAGTCTCTGAGTGCAAACTCTATCTTCTTATCCTTTGTACCGTATTCTCTTTCCTGCTCCCCTCCACTTGAAAAGCCTATTGGCCAGGTCACCACTAGCTCTTAGCCATTGTCTTTCCTGGACTGTCTAGCAGATTCTAGCTGATGATGGATTTCTCCTCACCTTGGGTTTTTGGTAGCTTCAGGAAAGGTCCCAGCAGCCTTTTGCTGATATTTTTCCTGTTCAGTGATATACTGCAGAATTCCCCATTTAAAACGTTAGAGGTCTAGTGGGATCCCTTTTGGGAAAGACTGTGGGTTGGCTCTCTTGCTGCCTGCTCTCCATGCTTGGAGAGCGTCTGAAAGCATTTTGTTCTGATAGGTCTAAAGTCTAAAGCTCAAGATTCCATTGGGGTAGGAGCGAGGAAAGGAGAGTGGACTGGGGACAGAAATGGGAGACCTTTCTTCATTTTTATTTATATTCAATTTATTTTTGTTCGTTGGCCTTTTATGTATTCTTAGAATATAATTTTTGCAACAATTCATCATGTTCTGTACCTACCTTGCCTCCTATCTGATAGAATTGTTAAAAGTAAATTATTAACATAACATAGAGCATAACTGACTCCTAAATGCTCAGTAGCTACTAGCAACGGATTTCATTATTATTTCTATTACTATGTATATAGTTCTGTGGTTTTAAAAATAGTTTTCCAGACTTTGGGCTAAAGTACTCTGTTTTCTCTCTTTGAATGCTGCTTTCCACATATAATTCTAATAAAAGTTCTAGCTGCCATCTCTAATTACAACCTAAAATAATTACAAATAAACACAAATCAAAGATAAATGAAGTGTCAAGTGACACATGATACAGATCAGCACTGCTTCCAGCTTCTACCCCAACACGCAGCCAGGAAGTA